TTTTACAAGCACAACCTCTCTCTGCTACTTTAATGGAAAATAAGCCATAGCATTTTCCAGTTTAGAATACAGTACTACCTTCCTTATACAGTACAACCTCACAAAAACCGATTTATTCGTGGAAAGAACGTGTCACTGATCGTCATTTCATCTTATTAACTGAATTAACATGAAAACGTATTCACTTAGCGCACTGGCAAATATGACATTAACGTGAACGAAATACTTTACATTAGTGAATATGCTGTATACTCACTTCATAAACCCTAAAGAGAGGTTCATCACAGGAACAACAGAATGCCTTTTATGAGACTAGTAACTAGCTAGTTGTATTGCATTCCTTATATTCTATTTAAATATTGAGCAATAGCTAGTGAAACTTTTTAGGATTTACTAAAACCTATATAAAGTTAAAAACAACGTGCATTAAAAAACTCCTGCTTAGTTATGTGAATTTAAAAAAAACTTTTCAGTTGTTGTGAGGTTATAATGGTGTGTATATACTGTAGTTTCATCTATAAAATATTTGAAAAGCATTAGTTAACTTAAAATTTTGTCTTCTATCAGCCAAGGAATCTTTGACACTAAATCTAGTGTACTAGAGAAAAAAATAAAAATAAGATTCATGACATATAAAATAACCAAGGCTAAAGTACATCCTGTCAATAAATTGCTCTGGTTGCAGATAATACAACGGAGCATTAGTACAAGTTTTATATTCTGAAGACAACAATAATCATTCATGAAAGCTCTTATTATACTAGCATTTTCTAAATATATTTATATGTACAGATGACACACTATCATTCTGTTCCAACTTTTCAAACATTGGCAAGTTGAGTACCAGCTGATCCAAGACACTGAGAATATCCTTGTCCCGATATCTCTCTATCCCAGTCCCTTGATCAGTCTTAGATTTCTGAACGTGGATTCACTGTGAGCGATGCGACAGTTAAGAACTGTGTCAGGCTTGATTTCACTGCTTGCGAGGTTACAATGTCTCTCCAGTCTTTATTAATTAATGGTACTACATGAAAGGTGAAAGTTGGTTCTCATCACAGAAATAAAGGATCGGGGAGCATCTAAGACAAGCCACTCCTGGAAGTCAAGACTAGTCTGTCATAGAGTGTAACTTGGCTTAGTTACCGTTACATATGGATACATACAAAAATGAAGACTTTATAAGAAATGACGGTCCATCACATGCCGTGATATACAGGAGTTGAGCCATGCCTTATCATGCTTCCAGTCCATGAAAATTAGTGAAGATAATGTGGCACTATGTTGGCAATTATGTGGATGAATATAATGCTTTTTTTACTTCAGTGAAATGGGATTTATATATTTTTTTTCTTTTTTTTTCTATTATTCCTTGTCTTCTTTCCTTCCTATCACACACTCGATACAGGTTGGTCCTCGTGACTGACGGAAGGCTCCCCCTCACTCGGCGACAGCTTCGGAGAGACGTCCTGCGCCGTGGACGTCGTGGGGGACTGGATGGTGATCATGGCCGTGGACGGGGACCGCGACACCGACTTGTGGCTCATGGACGTGGCCTCCTCGAACGTGTCGTCCATGTCGGTGAAGGACACGGACTTGGCCCTGTACCACACCACTGCGTCCACGATAAATGCCAACATCATCACACTACCTGTGATACCTGGACCATGGGAAAGTAGCATGTATAGTTAGAGGGTTGGTTTCAGAAAAGTACTGCATTGTAAAGTGCTAAAAGATATAGTATTAAACATTCTCAATAATAACAAATTTACTATTTAATCCTCTGTAAGCTACAGGATAATAACACAGAAGTATATACAAACCACACAGACACTACGCGAAGTCGTCTGTCTACCTCTGTCTCTACCTCTACTCACCCTCTATCTCTACCTCTCTCTCTCTAATAAATACTACCACACACGCCCAATATACCCACCTAACAAGGCTATATATATCAAGTGTAATTTTATCTCCAAAGGTTAAAGTTTCATATAAACGAAACCAGTAAACCCAAATCACGGTACGTACCATGGAAGAACATTCTAAATATATCAGTGTCATAGAGCTGACATGCACCAGGCTCTTCGCAAGTCTCCTGCCAGTGAATACACGCGTAGTCTACCACAGCACCATATATAATGGGACATGGCACATTACCTGCGTGCGATGAAAAACATGAATGAATAAGGCAGAATTACTTATTTACATTTTTAAGAATAAGGAAGCTTTTTGTTCTGAATATGATGACATGTCTGTATTATATTTATTCATTAATATGTACAAATAATGTTTCTATTCACACATTTTTGACTCACCGAATAGACCAATAGCACCAGAGATGAGACCAAGAGCCATCGCTTTGTCTTTGGGATCTACACAGCGAAGGGTGACCAGCATGCCACCGACTTCTGATGTGGAATGTATCAATACGAAGATGGAAAATATAATAACATACCTGGAAAGAATAAAAGAATTGGAATACCAGGCACCGGTTTGAAAATGCTCTCTTTCTTTTTACTAAATGCGTTGTGCAAAATTTGTGTATGTGTCTGAGTTGTTGGAATATTATGTTTATATGCAATCAGACGTCAGTGTGTATGGTAGTTTATTTATGAAAATTACAACAGTATAGGATTTAAGACATCATCAATAATGTAAAAATTCATGAATATCACAGTATAAATTCTGTATATATAAGACAACATTTGCTCAGTATATATATAGGACAACATTGGTTCTGTTCTGTACATACATTTGCCCTCAAAACGGACAATCACAACCGCGACTCACCAGGTAAAGTTGGAACAATCAAGTTCGCAAAGCCTCAGAACAGCTGTTTCTCCCTCGGGAAGACACTCGCAATCTGAGAACTGAGGAGCAGAACTCGAGTAAGTTATGTTACGATATTAACTTAGATCCTCTTGTATGTTTTTACGGTATCTCATTATTTAAGAAAAAACATATGTCAAAAATAGCTTTAAAATAAAAGCAAACTTTAAAAAAAAAATTCCATGCAGACATTGCCACATCAGAACTCACCACAAGTTTATTTTCTTCCTTGAAATTGGTGACATTCGAGCAGCCGAGATGGCAGGCGGAGAAGTAGGTCCTCGCGTTCGTCCCGCAGACCGGAGCGAAGGCGCTGTCGTCGCAGTTCCCGCAGGTCCTGTTGCACACCTCCACGAAATGCTTGCCGCTAGAATGCAAATATTGCAGCGTGAAATACGACACACACAAAAAACAAACAAACAAACAAACAAAAAAAAAAGTTATTAATAAGGATGGAATGTTGGGAAGAAAGATGACCAAAAAAAGTTAGGTTTCTCTAATAGAATCGTATTGTTGAGATGAATCTGTTTTTAATAAGGATGGAATGTTGGGAAGAAAGATGATCACTATTAAAAGGGTGGATGCGTTGAAAAGATGACCCAAAAAAGTTAGGTTTTCTCTAGTAGAAGATGTATTTGTTGAGATGAATCTGTTTTTTAATAAGGATGGAATGTTCGGAAGAAAGATGATCACTATTAAAAGGGTGGAACGCGTGAAAAATATAATGATGGAAATTAGAGCAGAGACGAATTATATGTATATATCTCATATCATCGCATTTTCAAGATGGATGTCGTACTCTGTAATAAGGAAATTTGTACATCTTGAAAACGAATGTAAAGTTTACAAGAATGATGGATTGAGCCCATGTTGTATGTTGTGATATCAGCAAAGTAATTGTGCTATCGATCTTTTCGAGAAAAGTCAGAAGAAAGAGCTGAGCAATCTAGCTCTTGGCATGCAGGACACGGAGAAGGAAAAAAGGTAAGAACTACAACTTACAAATCAAGTGACAATTATCTGCCATTTTTATGCTTGTCCTCCTCACAGCTGTTATTACCATCATTCTCAATGATGGCCACTTATACACAAGATGTATACCGAGATTCAAACGGTAGTGACACAACCCAAAATTACGCATTTGAATACATGAATACGAAACTTTAAACAGACGAATAAATTAAATAAACCAACCCCACCAACCCCAAAAACACACACATCCCTCCAACCACAACACCCTCCCTCCTTCAGAAATGGAAAACCTCGCTCCCGCCCTTAACAAAACCGGAAAAAACCTCTTCGACCCCACCAGCCCAAGGCCCAGCCCCACCCCAGCCCCCAGCCCCAAGCCCCAGCCCCCAAGCCCCAGCCCCGAGCCCCAGCCCCCAAACCCCCAACCCCCAGCCCCCAACCAGCCCCACCCCAGCCCAAGCCCCAGCCCCAGCCCCAGCCCCAGCCCCCAGCCCCAAGCCCCAGCCCCAGGCCCCAGCCCGAGCCCCGAGCCCCGAGCCGAGCCCGAAGCCCCAGCCCCCAGCCCCCACCCCCCAGCCCCCAGCCCCATGGACCTCTCTCTTCTCAGCTGGGATCTCGGCACAGAGGTTGCATGCGTGTCTCACCGACGCCCGCTCTTATTTATCTTGTCACTTCTAATGGCGCCCCGACGTTTGTCAAGTGAGCGTGCTGCGACTTCCTCTCGGGCGCGAGGAAATGAAGGCCGGGATGAATTCGCTTCTTTAATGGGTGTTATTTTCCGCTGGCGATCTCCCCGTGGTTGGATTTTTCAATGGGCGGGTGGCGGGCAGAGGGGGAAGCGGGGGGGGGGGGGCGGAACCTTGGCGGTGCTCGAGTCGCCGTCAAAATGTTTTGCTCATGTTTTTTTTTTTCTTGTCTTATTATTATCAGTATTTTTCTGTTTATTTCATTATTATTTATTCATTTATTATTTATTTATTTTTTGAGGGGGGTTAATTGTTATTATTATTATTATTATTATTATTATTATTATTATTATTATTATTATTATTATTATTATTTTATTGGGGGGGGTTTTATGGAAACTGGTCAATAGGAAAACTGAAAAATATAACCTTTTGCGTGTGTGTGTGTGTGTGTGTGTGTGTGTGTTGTGTGTGTGTGTGTGTGTTTGTGTGTGTGTTGTGTGTGTGTGTGTGTCCTGACACTGTGTGTGTGTGTGTGTGTGTGTGTGTAGTGAAAGACGAGGGAAAGAGAGAGGGACGAGGAGAGAGAGAGAGGGGAGAGAGAAGAGAGGAGATGATTGGAGACGGGGAGTGAGAGAGAGAGAGCGAGAGAGAGAGAGAGCCGAGAGAGAGGAGAGGGGAGAGGAAGAGAGACAGAGGAGAGACAGATGGAGAGACGATGCAGGAGAGAAGGAGAGAAAGAGGGAAAGAGAGGAGAAGAGAGAGAAGAGGGGGGGGAAAAGAGAAGAGAAGAGGGAAAGAGAGAGATGAGAGAGGGGGGGGAATGGAAAAGAGAAGAGGAGAGAAGAGGGAAAGAGGACGATGAGAGAGAGAGGGGAGGGTGGGGTCCGGCTGGGAAAGAGCGAGAGACGAGAGGGTGGGGGGTGGGAAATGAGAGAGAGAAGAGGAAAGAAAAATCGAAACTCGAGCAAGACGGAGAGAAAAGAGAAAGACGAAGAGAAAGAGAGAAGAAGAGGGGGGGGGGGGCGGGGGGGGGGGGAGGGGGTGGGGGGGGGGGGGGGATGGGGGGAAGGGGGACCGGGGAGGGGGGGGGGGGAAGGGGGGGGGGGGGGGGGGGGGGATGGGGGGGGAGGGGGGGGGAGGAGGGGGGGGGAGGAGGGGGGGGGGGAGGGGGAAGGGGGGGGGGGGAGGGGGGCGGGGGACGGGGGGGGGGGGGGGGGATGAGAGATGAGGGGGGGGGGGGGGAAAGGGGGGGGGGGGGGGGGGGGGGGAAAGAGAGAGAGACGGGAAAGAGAAGGTTAGAGCACAATATTTAAAACAGACAGTAAACACTTGTTCCGGAGATTTAAACTAAAAACTTTTCCGGCCATTTCGAATCCGCCAGCTGTTTCGAGAACACGACCAAGAAATTTTATCCCGCAAACGAATAACAACATTATTTCCCTCCTTTTGCAACATTCAGATAAACCCTTCTTGCAACATCCAAAAAAAAATATTAAAACAAATTAAAAGAAGAAGAAAATACTGCAAATCTTTACCACCCACAATGATCATACCACTCGTGATGCGTTTTATAAAAGAAGTAATGCGCGAACGAATTTTTGAACAGGACATCGAATGCTAACGGTTCGGGCTTTTCTGCTATCATGGCGGCCGGGCAGGGTGCTGCGGTCTGGCCGTGGGGGCTGTGGGCTAATCGTGGTTTGATTACAGATTAAAAAATCCTTGTGAACAAATTATTCTTACGATTACTATGATAGTAACTTATTTAAAGATAGGGGATTAAATGATGAGTTATGTCTGGCGCACGACGCATTTATTTGAGGGCCTGGCAGATGCATGATACTGACATGAGGTTTTAGTGATATTAAAATATAAGGATTATATACAATAATATGATGGCATATCAGTTATGATTATCTTAATATGCAGTAAAATATTGCGCCTGTAAACAAAGACAACTTATTTTGAACGAAAAACCAAAAAAACAAAGAATATGACTACCAGCAACATAACACAATATTAAGAAATTATCGATGATCGCAGAGCAGCAGCACCATTTATATATCAATAATAAACATTATCAAGTGTTGGTTGAAAGAATTAACACAAGCTATTTTTATCGGCTATTATTATTTGTTCATTTGTTATTAACCCTATTTATTATTCATTTACTGTATGATCATCCATTATCTATCCATCCATTGTTATTATTTTTCATCATTACTATTATCATTTTCACATTATTTATATTCCATTCATCATTATTATTTCTTATTTCATTACGTATCGTTCTTCACATTATTCATAATTTTCCTCATTCATTATTTACCATTATTTGTTTATTGCCTTATCTTTCATAATTTAAAATCACTGATATTATTGTTGTTTTTTTTTCACAGATTCATCATCTATTCGATAATCGTTATCCACATCCACCACACCATTTACCCCCCCCCCCACCACCCACCACTACTACCCACACCAACCACCACACCACGCATTCATCGACCACCCACCACACCACCACCAACCACCACCACCACCCACCCACCATCATCATCCATCATCAATTCATCATCGATCAATCATATCATCATCATCTCATCTCATCTCCATCCTCTCACCATCATTACCCCCCCCCTCCCTCCCCCCTCCACCCCGCCCTCCCCCCTCCGGACCGGCGAAGCGATGAGGGAGACACCAAAGCAATCCCTTTAAAACCCCTTTCACCTTTACCCCACGCGTAGCTGTATTGTGCTCTTTCTCTCGCCCGGAGATTGGATGAGACGGGCGTGGGGGCGACCGCGACCCTTGATTGAATTACGCGTCTATTGTCTGTTTTTCGGACTGCTATCATTATTAAGAGCGAGTTTCTCCCCCCACCCCCCCCCCACCCCCCAACCCCACCCCCCGCCGAATCATAACCCGGTTTAGCAGAGAGGATTTTAAAAATGATATGATTTATGAATTGCGTTGGAGCGCGGGTTGTGCGTGTGGTGGTGGGAGGGTAGGTTAGTGGGTTAGTGCGCGTGCGTTTGAGGGTGGTGGTGGTAGGTGGTAGGTGGTGGGTGGTGGTGGGTGGGTGGGTGGGTGGTGGGGTGTAGGTGGTAGGTGTGGTGGGTGGTGGGTGGTAGGGCGGGTGCGGTGGTAGGTGGGTGATGTAAGGGTGCGCCGGTGGTAGGTCGAGGTGTGGTAGTAGTGGTGGTGCGTGGGTGAGTGGGTTGGTGGGTGGTGGCGGTGTGTGTAGCTGGTGGGCGGTGGGTAGGTGTGTGGTGGTTTAGTGTGGTGGGTGTGTGGGTAGGTGCGTGGTGGGTGTGGGTGGTAGGTTGGTGGGTGGCTGGGTGTGGTGGGGGGTGGTTATAGGGTGGTAGTGGTGCGGTGGTGGCAGAGTCTGGTGGATGGGGAGGGGTTGTCAATTTTCCTTGTTTATCGTTTATTTAGGTTTTTGACTGACGATGTCTGTGATTATAAAAATGTTTCTTATCCTCGATTTTTTTTCTAGTTTGGTTTAGATTACCAATTGTACGGAATAATCAAATAATCGAGTTTTCTTCTTTTACAAATGCCGAACAAACGAAACAATCAAACTGGGAGTTTATTCTGCCTCTATTTGCCCTTGACTGTTTGTTTTTACGCTATTCCATCTTAGATTATAAGTTAGTGTTACTTATTACTACCCCATTTATAATGCCCGTTTGTTACACGCGGTTTACCCCTGACCGCATTACTCTTACCATTTTCACTACTGTGTTGGTTTTAGTTATTCCATTCGAATTTTTCGTTCATCGGATTATATTTTAGATATGATATACTGGTTTATATTTATTCACTATATATAAGTTATGTAACAATACTGCGTTTTGTTGTAATTGGGTTTACCTATTACCTCAGGGCCCATTCTCGAGGCGCCGACCGCGAGAGATCCTCGCGGGCGTCCCAACGAACCATAGGATCCACCCATTCCTGAGACCGGAGGGATGATATCATTATTGTTAATGAAGTTATTCTTCATTTATTAAACACTTATTATTAATATTATTATTAAACTTATTCTCACATTTATTGTTTGTTGTTCTTGCCGATAATATTGTTGGTTTCAGTATATTCCTCTTCAATCAAATTTCATCACTTCTGTATTATAGGTTTTTTTTTATCGTTTCATTATTTTTTTTAATATTACTATTATCAACTTAAACATTTTTATCAATCAGCACTTACTTTTATTTAATTATTATTTTTAAAAAATAAAATTTGATACTCTTGAATGTCTCGGAATTTGTGGTTTTATCATTCCCAAACAACAGGTATTAATAAACAGGCTACATGGTAGGTAGGGTAAAATAACAAACAACGTATACAACAAAACAGATGCCGGATAAGATTTAAGATTTCGAGATTCCACTGGTGGAAAAAAGGAAGAAAAATGAAAGAAGGAGAAGAAGAAAGAAAGATGAGGGGGAGAGATAGAGAGAGAGTGAGAGTGAGTGAGTGGATGAGAGTGAGTGAGTGAGTGAGTGATGATGAGTTGGAGAGGGAGAGGGAGTGAGTGGAGTGAGAGTGAGGAGTGAGGGAGCAGTGAGTGAGTGAGAAGTGAGTGAAGTGAGAGTGAGTGAGAGAGAGAGAGAGAGAGAGAGAGAGAGAGAGAGAGATAGAGAGAGAGAGAGAGAGAGAGAGAGAGAGAGAGAGAGAGAGAGAGAGAGTGAGTGAGAGTGAGAGTGAGGAGAGAGAGAAGAAAGAGAGAGAGAAAGAGAGAAAAGAGAATCAAAGAGAAATCAAAGAGAAAGAAAGAGAAAGAAAAGAGAGAGAGAGAGAGAGCCCCTTCGACAGCCTCCTTCTGCCGGAGATCCCTCGGGGCGCGTCCTCACCGAGGAATAGACGAGGGCGGTGAGGGCGATCCATCCTGAGACGGCGCGGGCGGAGGGCTTGGCTCGCCTTATGAAGATGCCGCTGGTGAAGATGCCCACGCCCATCACCATAATCCCGCCCATACCTGTCGGAGAAACGGGTTAGGTGGACAATGGCGCTTGCTGTATGTGGGCCACGAGTCTGATTCATGTTTCGGTGAGGGCCAGGTGATGCCCACCTGTCTGATCTCTGTCTTTCGCTTTTGTATATTTGTATATATATATGTATATATATATATATATATATATATATATATATATATATATATATATATCTATATATTCATATATATATATTCCAAACGTTATATATACAATTACATACATTACACACATACACACACACCACACACACACACACACACACACACACACACACACACACATATACTATATATATATATATATATATATATATATATATATATATATATATATATATATATATATATATATACATTTATACACATCAACCCATCCTCCCAGTCATAACCATCAGACATACCCCCTCCCTTCCCCCCACAACCCCCCTCCCCCACTGACCTGACACCATGGCGGCGCTGTGGACGGGCAAGCGGAACTGACTCTCCAGGTACTTCGGCAGGA